TCAGGAAGGTCTTCTGGAAAGACGCCAAAAGGAAGAAGCCGCCACTTTCCACATTTGTCACAAGCAACCCAATGTTCCTGTATGATCACGGGATTTGCTTTCGGAAGAGAAGCATCAGAACCAAGTTTTCTCAATACTGGCTCAGGACCAACATTGGGAAATTCTGCCAGAGGGAAGTTTGATTTTTCAGGCATATCTTCTAAGGCCGGAAGTCCCTTTTCTGACATCCGAGAATCTTTTACTTCCAATGAACAATTCTGTTCCTCTTCTTCTTCAGAGTCCCCTATGTCTCCAAAAAAGTCTTTGTAAGTGTCTTCGGCTTTTTTTCCATCATTTTGAAGTTTCAAGGCTGCCACTTCCTTCTTCTCAGCTTGACCATTCATCTTACTCTCAAAAACAACAGAGCCTGGCAGTTCCTTGAACTTTGATAAAGATTGTGGCTCTTGTTCTGTCCTATCATACTTCTGGTTTCTCAAAGGATGTTCTGGCTCCACCTTATGACCACTTTTCGACTTTGAAGCACTCAATTCCTTTTTGACCGAATCAGAAGCTTTGCTTCCTTTGTATTTGCCAACTTTCCTTGAGTATCCTGAAGCCTCATCATCACCAGGTTTAATCTTTTTGTCTTCCCGAACACTTCCAGTAGAACTAGTCTTCAGATTCTCATGATTCCCCCCAAGATCTTTATGGCGAGTTAGACCCCACGATCTACTGTCGACATCACCCGCCATTTCGCCCCAAACAGTGCCATTGCAGTTTTCCTTGGATGCATCAAATAATCTACTAATGGTTGTTTGTTTTTCTGCAGCAGTAGGAAATGATGTGTTTGTAACTATTGAATCCTTGACGGTGGCATCAGATCCATCGAACGGGCCCTTCTTACTGCGGACATTCATCTCCGCACAAAAGCTGCTCCTCTCCACCGCCTTTTTTTTCTTCTCCGCTGATGGTTTCTCTCCAGCCTTCTGAGGTGCCAAACCGTTCGCCATAGCATAAGAGCTCTCAGTGAAATTCCTGGGTGGGGATATATACTTATATCCCTTCTCTGATTTTTCCCTTTCAATGAATCGAATCAGATCATCAGAGAGAGGAGACAACAAATGACAATGATCCACAGGAAGGGACATCATTACCTGCATAAAAGAATATATCAGCATGACAAGCATACAAAGGAGACTGTTTCAGTACTGTGAAACAAAACAAAGGAAACCTCACATTAAGAATACTGGTGGGAGACTCCATTAAAGAATAACCTTGAGGTTCCCCATTCATCCCTTCACTACCTGAAAGGCTATTATTATCGAATGACAAAGAAGGTGATACATCAAGTCCAAGGCCACTGTATATCGCAGCAGCATTCTTTTCGGTGGATAAACCGTCTGATACCATCTTAATCCGAAGCTTCAGAGAGTTCTGTTTACTGAAGACACCAGGTTTCTTGGGTGCAGAATCCTGTCTGGAACTAGAATTGGGTTTCTTGGATTTCATTGATTTTTTGGGGTTTCCAGAGGAAGTAATCCCAGATTTTTCCTTTTTAGGAACACTAGACGAAGCTGCATTGCCACACTGGGACTGAGAGAAGAAAGATGGTAAGAGAATAAACATTACGGAAATTACAAAGAGCAAAACGCAGGCAAAGAGAAACATATACCTCCCCTGGTAAGTTGTTTGGGGATCTAGTCCCTGTAGAACTCTGAGGTTTTGCTTGTGTCTTTGGTTGAGCCCAAACAGGGGAACGTTGATAAGTTGGTAAGAAAGAGCCATAGCCACCATATTTCGCCCCTGTAATCAAATGCAAAGGACTAGTTTCACACTTTGTGGACTAACCAAGAAGAAAAGTTGCTGCCAAACATCAACATACCAAGATTCTCTGCTGAAACACCTCCCTCGAAGTCTTTCTGGAAGTGTCCAAGGATGTGTTGAAGCTTCTCATCCTTCCAATGAAACAATAGAAAAATAAAGTCAACAACCAAACATAGTTTACTTCCCTGATAACAAATTCTAGACTCTTAGATGTGGATGCTTTAACGGAACTTCTGTGTCGATACTACTGAAGTGAAATTAAAAAAAAAAAAGAGCCATTTAAAATCAATCTGTGGACACATCTCCAGTAAAATTGTAACCGATAAGATGAAAGTTGTCCATATATACGCTGTAAAAAGATCAATCGAATCAAATGAATACACGCGGCACTCTGAAACTAAAGAATTCTAAATGGAAATTTAACCACTTGACCAATCTACGACGAGCAATTAAGGTGGTGTTTTGTTGCGATTGAATCATAATGGAACTACCAAACAAGATATCTACAACATTTAAACGAATACCATATAAACTGCATACACATCTCTAAAGCACCAAAAGTATATATAGATCCCTACCCAAACAGAAGCAATCTAATTCAAAGAAACTCTATGTAAGACAGAAAACAGTGCAACAATAACACTTGCAACATTCATAATCTAAGTTGACAATAAGTTACGAAATCAAATATAAATAAATAACTATATGGATAACTCGTAGATTGATAATAAGCTGAGAAGAAGGCCTCACAATGTAAGAGAGATCGTTATCAGGGTCTATGCTTCCACCGTATTCATTAGTAATATTGTAAGAGCAAGCCTCTCCTTCTTCAAGTTCAGACTCCTCCATGTCTAATAGTTGTAGCTTCAACTCAAAACCCTAGAGTTAACCCTAGCCCCTTTGTAACATTGCAATCACCGAAGCCCCAAAAAAATATCAATGAAGCGGTGGAATCAGACCCATATCCACCCTAAGAAAACCACAGCGTGACGCAAAAGTCTACCCTACCGACCAACGAATCACTAGAACTCGACCCAAATCCCAACCTAAGGAACAAATTAGAGAATCCGATCAAAGCGAATACAACACACAAAACTAGAAGAACATCCCAGAAAGTGTAAATTGTGATGTTGCAACGATTAAGCAATATCGGCGAATTTAATTTGAAGAAAACAATCGGATCGAATGAAATCAGAATTGTGTGTCTTTTTCCGATTTCTTCCCAAAGGATCAAAAAAAAATATATATGTGTGTCCGATCTCTTTTTTTTTTTTTTTTAATTGCTAAGGCAAAATCAATGAATTAAGCTAAGCACCCCTCTCTCTCTCTCAGGCCCCAACCAAAAAAACGTAAGAATCTCCCGGGTTTTGGTATAGGGGCTGCCGCGGTTTATTTTTTTCCTTTTTTTCATTTATTATTCTGTAATGTTTCCATTTTTTTTCTCTTTTCTACGTGTCACAAAACACAACGAAACTATTTTTCCGCTGGATAACACAATAAACCTATGAAAGTAAAAATCATAATAATGTAACACTATGTTAAGTAGATTAAAATAAATAGTTTATGAAGGACTACTCTTTTTCACTTTCATTTTTATTTTTATACGTTATAATGAGAACCAAATATATCTTTAGCTTATACGTCCCCCACTTGCTTACTAGCTTTTTTTTGCTGGTGGTCTGAAAAACGTTACTATTCAAAGTGAGTGAGAGTTACACACTTTGTCACTATTTTATTAATCATTTAGTTGTGTGTGATTCAAACTTATAGATTGTATTTGTTAAGCCTAATGGCGTTTTCTCTATTTAGAGATGTCCAAATTAGTAGATTAAAACACCCAAAGAGTATGAATCCTATATTTTTTTTTTCTTTATGTGTACTGCATTTATTATATATGTTTTTCCACATCAACCCATATAATTATAGTTATGTGACTAAATTTCATAAAGTAAATAAAAACTTGTAAAGGTACCCCCACATTCGCTCGTTAATTTTGATATCTTCATTCCATTTAGTATGCATTTATGTGATATATCTCAGTGTAAATTACAGGATATTCGAAATATTCGTGTCAATTTACAAATACAAGAGAATTGATTACAATGATGGTCTTTTAGATTGGTTCTTGTGTATTTTTATGATTAAAGATAAATTCCAAATAACTTTTATTTAATAAATTAGTTCTTATTTAAGAGACAAAATCAATGGCTTTTAGATAAAACTCTTTTAAGAGACCATTGATAATGATGTTTTTATCACTCATCCGGAATGAGAATATTCTTATGGATCTCGATCATGTACAAAATGTACTCCGATAAATCATAACACTATTTAAAGATGTCTTCGTAGCGTCGTTTTGCAAGTAATAGTTATGAGATAGAAGTAAAAGAAATAGAAAACATGAAAAAAATGAAGAGCCGAAGACAGAAAAATAAACGTAGAGAGAGAGACCATAGCCAACAAACAAAGAAAAAAACGTAAAGAGACAAAACTATTATCTACAAAGCAAGCTCTGGTTTTGACGCGTAAAAGAAAATGGTTGCACTGATCTGCGGCGAAGCTTTGGTCTATTTGGAAATTTCACGTGCTATGAAGTTGGAACTACATACGTACAGTATTTATCTCACGCAATATATATAAGATCGTCTCCTATACATGCCGCAGCTCTCCATATTTGAAGTAAAATATATTAGCTAGGTAGTATTTGTAAAATGTAAATTTTACTTCAAGAAAGCATATGTAAAACAAGTGGGGGTGGCTCAAGAAGCTTGAGGACCAAAACTGACAAAATTACCCCGCCGTTCGTGTGGATAAGAACCAAAAGATGATAGTAAAGCAGACGACTGTAATGTACTTTCGTCGGTAAAATGGGTTAATCTCGTCCACACAGCCAACAATTCTCATACCAAAGTCAAAGAGATCTCTCTACCTTAACACGTTAAATGCGTGCTCTTGGACACATCTTTTTTTTGTTCACCAACTTCCCTAACACATGTTGTTTTTTTGTTTTTTTCTGTCTGTTACTATATTTTTCAATTTAACATATTTTAATATCAACTAAATAAAGATAAATGATGGGCAATGTTTGTAAATAACACTAAATATTTAAATTACATAATTTGGTAAGAAGCTAGGTTGGGTTACTAGCCCGCCACGTGTCATTATCTAAAGGGTTCGATACTTGTCTGTAATCCGCCGTTCTAATTTTTTTTTTGGTTTTCACAATATAAGCAGGGCAGAATAGTAATTTTATTGCATCTGATTCATCTTCCTCCTCCCAACTTAGGCCTGAGCTTGCAAGCACCAGCGAGCAGCGGAAGATTTTAACACCGAACGAGGCCACGACTTAGGATTACGAACGCCAGCGAGAAGAAACTTAAATTTGGCAATCAAATTGCGGTTTGGTCTTAACGGAAGCATCTATTGGGGCAATATCAGCAGCATCCCCGTGACTGTGAGCCTCTTCTTTTCCTTGTTTCAAGAACCAATGCATTTGGGATTGAAAGGGATTTAGTTTCTAGGATTTATCATTATTTTTGGTTGTGATTTTGGTGTATCCTGAATTCCTGGCGAGGGTTCTTTGTGTTGTTGCTATCACATTCGATTTTGTTGAGAGATTTGGAAGAGAGGCTTAGGATTTAGGGTTTATGTATCATGTCAAACTTGTTATACTGCCGACGGTTTTGTCTGAGATCTTCGCGTCCAATCAATTCGGGAGATTCTGTGTCCATTTCGCAATTGATCACTCATAAGCTAAGGTGTCTACTGAGTAGAGCATTGTGTTCAGTCTCAGAAGGCAAAACCGAGGTTGCCAAAGAGAAGAGACCATGGTTAAAGTCGTTTACTGTCTCGTACCTCGTGAACTCATGTGGGTTGTCTTTGGAATCTGCTAAGTCAAAGTCCAGATTCGTTAAGTTGTCATCTTCCGAAAGACCAGACTCTGTACTCACACTGCTCAAGAACAGTGGCTTCACCAATGAGCAGATCATTAGGGTTGTCAAATCATTCCCTACTATTCTGATAGTGAACCCTGAGGTTGTACTCTTGCCAAAACTCAGTTTTTTCCGTTCAATCGGGTTATCCAGCTCTGATACCGCCAAACTTATCTCAAATTGTCCCACAACGCTGTCCCTTAGCTTGACTAACAGGCTGATCCCTTGCTATGATTCCCTCAAAAGTATACTCGGTGAGCAAGAAAATGTCCTCAAATGTCTGAGACGTGGATATTGGATTTTCACTTTGGACACTGCAAAGTTCTTGGCTACACGGCTATCCCTCTGTCGGGATATTGGAGTCCGGGACCAAAGCATCAAAAGACTGGTCCAAAATGGTCCACTCGTGTTCTTCTGCTCCGAGAGAAAGTTCAACGAGGTCCTTAACAGAGTTCGTGACTTTGGTTTTGACCCCAAAAAGATGTATTTCGTTCATGCTATGTTAGTTTTCTTTCATGTTAGTGAATTCACCATGGAACACAAGTTTGGGCTGTACCAACAGTTTGGTTGGTCCAAAGAGGATTGTGTCGCGGCATTCATGAGATTCCCAAATTGTGTGAAAATATCGGATGAGAAGATAACGGGAACCATGGAGTACCTCATAAACAATGTGGGTCTCCCGCCTGGTACCATCGCTATGCAACCTTTTGTTTTGGGTCTAAGCTTGGAGAAGAGAATCAAACCGAGGAACATGGTGATCTCTGAGCTTCTGTCTAAAGGGTTTGTGAAGAAAGAAGATTTGAACTATTTCCAGATTCTTAAGATTAAAGATTGTGTGTTCATGGATAAGTATGTTCTGAAATTTCAGCAGGTTTCTGCTCTCCAGCCATGCCCTTGACAGAAGAGATTGTGTGTTTGTGTGGTCGTAGATTGATGCTGTCAAAATTTTAGATTATAATGACCCCAATGCTTAAGAAAACTTTCAAGACAATTAGTTGCAGACGGTTAACCAAAGAGCTTGTTCTCTGCAGTTTTCAGATCAATGGCAGTTAGGCTCCGAGACTTGCATGCCAAACTTTGTATTCCAGAAAATCAAAAAGAAGCATTCTTATCTGTTTTCTTTGTTTGACCTGTTTAATTCGTTTTTACTTTAGCTTCGACTCTCACCTGTTCACTTACTTCGACCATGTTGCAAAACAACTTTATTTTATCACAATTTGAAATTGTTGTCAACAATAGAAATTGAACTACCTTTTTAACACTGTCTTCGCAAAAAGTAATAACATCAAAAATCTTGTTTTTAGAATGGTTTGAAAAAATGAATTTCCGTTTGTCTAACTCGGTCTTAAGGTTTGGTCCAATCAGGTATGCCCACCGATACTACTATTTGCTCATAGAATCATTCATATGTTACATATAAAAATGATTAAAAATATTAATTATAGTGTGTGTACAAAGTTTTCATTTGAGTGTAGTTCCAGGATTTATCCATAAGTAGCAGAAGAAGCAGCTACAGAATCGGAGAGTTCTTCCATGAGTTCCTTTTGCTCCAAAGCAGCACAAGCCTGCAATAAGAATTATACAAAAGCATCTTTTAGGTGCACATTAACGAATATAAATGTAACATTAAAGTTTGAGGTTTAGGGTTTAGGACCTGCACTGCATCCTCTAAGGCACCGTCAAGAAATGTTGTAAGCGCAAAGTTCATCTTTAGCCTATGATCAGTCACTCTACTGTCCTGTAATTTTCAGACATCATAAGCACAGAATTCATCATATTTTATAGCTAGCTTGGAATCCATGTATTACCTTATAATTGTATGTTCTTATCTTTTCTGAACGAGCTCCAGTCCCAACCTATTTCCGCAAGAATTGACATAGAGCAGAATAAGATGAATCTGCGATGATGAACTTAAGTTTAGAAATACTCTGAGAATAGTAAAACGAAGTGGACCTGAGATTTCCTTTCATTCCTTATCTTCTCTTGTTGTTCCCTTACTTTTATTTCATACCTAATATAAAAAAATAATGTATCAAAAGAAAAGACTAAGGTGGGAACTGATAGAGGAAGAAGAAGAAGAGCAGAGAGTTTGCTCCTTGAATGTTGCTTACAGTTTTGCTCGCAGAAGCTGGAAGGCACGAGCCTTGTTCCTAATCTGAGTTCTTTCTTCTGTACAGAAAATGCGTATACCTGATGGTTTGTGAAATAGATCTATAGCCGTCTCCACCTTGTTCACATTTTGCCCTGTACCAAGACCTCTTTTCAGTATTATTAGCAAGTGAAAGGTGAGAGAAACAGAAAGTAAGTTTCCTTAGCATAACCTCCAGCGCCGCCAGATCTTGCAGATGTAAGTTCAATGTCCTTTGGGTCAATCACCACTTCCACTTCATCAGCCTATGACAACAACAGAAACAAAGCAGAGATGACAGTTATGGACTGGTTACCAAGTTTCAATCAGAATATTGAAAAATGCAACATGTAAAAGCTAGTTTACCTCTGGCATGATGGCTACAGTTGCTGTAGAAGTGTGTACACGACCCTGTGTTTCTGTTTGAGGAACACGCTGGACTCGATGAACACCTGATTCATACTTGAGCTTGCTATAGACACGATTTCCTTTAATCTCCATCACACATGTCTTGTAACCACCATGTTCAGCCTTATAAAAGTAGGAAGATCAAAAGCTATATGTGTGAGCAACATGTCTCTAAGTTCTTATGCTCTACTGCAATTTTTTTCATCATTAACTCCTTCAATAGCCAAAAGAAAAAACAGAGCATCTCACCTCTGAGCATGAAACCATCGAAAACTTCCAAGAACTGCGCTCGCTGTACCTTTGATACATCCGCACCTGCAAGCAAAAGAATAACGCAAAGTAGATTTGATTCACTATAGAATCTCGAAGTTTCATTTATTGCACTTGCTTCTCTTAGCCATAAAATATAGGAACAATCACATTTGAAAGTTTTTACAATTAAATGGGGTTGAAACAAAATGGTGAACTACCATCAGATGAGTATAATTTTTCTAAATTCTAAGCATTTCCAGTCAGAAGACATAATACTCAGATAGAGGGGCAGAAGAAATAAAATAAAGGAAAGCATGTACCTACAAGGTCACCAGTCCAAATTGCAGCTTCATCGCCACCAGTTCCTGCTCTAACTGCATAAGGAACTCGGATTTTAGACTCATCCAGAAGTAGATAAGTATAACAATGGAGGCAACTGGGAGCAAAAGGCAGTTATTCAAGAAAAAGGCTAGTGTGGGACAAATGATACTACTTTCCAAGATAGAGTTAGTCAGTTACCTTCGAGCAATATGTTTCTGGCATCAAGAGGATCGGAAGGAAGAAGTAACACCTGACACAAGTAAAGACAATGATACAACTTAAGGATCCAAACCAAAAGAGGGAAAAATCAGCAACATTCGAATTTCAGCTGCCAAATAACTCAGCTATGGAACTAAGTCCAAGAGTATTGACTAGTTAAGATGCTGAAGGAAAAGGGTCTAAACCTTAAGTTGTTTTTCAAGCTCCTCAATTTCTTTAGAGAGGGAGTTGATTTCACTTCCTATCATTTCAGCCATATCTTCATCATCTCCAGCCTCTTTCGCCAAAACTGAAGCAATAAACCAATCAAAACAAGCTTACGAGTAACAAAATCAAAAGCAAAAGAAAAAAAAAAGGAGGAGACTTGAAGAGACCTTTGCTTTCTAGTAACTGCTTCTCACAGTCCTTGAACCTTCTATAGACTGATACAACCTACAATTGAAGTCAATTTAAGAAACCTTAGAAAAAAAGTTGCAAATTCGAACACTAGAATAATATGCAAATACCTCGTCAAGCTCTGACATGGACTGTGCCAGTTTTTGGTATTCAGATTGATTTGAAACAACATCTGGGTCAGCTAGTTTCACCTACGAATAATTCAAAAACTCGTAAGATGATGAGGAAAATAAACACCCCTTAGTGCAATTATGCAAGAGGTGTAAGAACATTACCGACAACTCCTTCCATGTCTTCTCAACAGACTCCATTTTCCTAATGAGGTAAGGTTCCTAAAAATTCTCAACAGGCAATTCATCGAACAATTAGCTGAAAAAAAGAAACAAAAACGAACATTGGGACTAAGAATAACTTACGGCCATACAGACGAGGCGCCGAGTCCTGCGAGACGGAGAAGGCGGCCACAAGGCTAGGCATACTCCTGCCGGTGACTGCCTCGAGCGTACAGTGAAAGGTAAAGAGTGAAGATGAAGGAAGGCTCGAGCCGTAGGACTCGTCGTCATCGAGCTATTCATTGTTCTAGAGAGGTGGAAGAAGACGAGTGGCGCGGGAGTTGCCGCCGGATAAGAGGAAAGAAAAGCCTTTTAGATGATTAGAGACGTGTTTGGATGTTAGAACAAAACCATCCTCGCCACAGAATAAACCCTTTTAGTTACTGGGCCTTTAGTAAGCCCATATTAGTCATCATTCTCGGTTTCACTTGTGCCTAGCCCAATGTTAGTGAAGTCAAAACGGGAACCTTCTGAGCCGTCCGGAGGTAAAAAACTATTCCCGTTTAGTGTTTCTTCTGTTACGGAAGGGTCCTCAATTTCATATTATTCCGGCGACGATGTCGATTTACAGGATCGCAAGAGCCTTACCCTTCTCCGGGATCTTCAGGTTCCTCCATTGTTTTTGTATACTATTGAATGCCTATCTGTGTATCTCTTCGAATTGACGATGATATGGATTTTTGATTTCCATCAAATTTTTTAGGTTTATTATCGTTTCGATTACAACTTGGGTAATGCTTTTGGCCGGAGGAAAATATCGATTTTTTTGGGTGTGTTTACGCTGAATTACTAAGGTTTCATTTTTTACAGGCAGCTCGAGCAAGAAGCTGAAACTGTGATCAATGTTCTTCAACCTGGACCTTTGGGGATCATAGAGCACAAGTTCTCGGCACAAGAGATTCGGGAGGCAAAAGCTACAGTTTCTAGAGCAGTTGCTAATTGGCGAAGACATTCTGAGCTAGAGCATGCAAATGGCCTTTTGAAAGATTACATTTATAAGTGAAGAAGTGAGTAAAACCTCTACTTGTGTTTGTTTCTTCGTTTTCATGGCTGATGTATAAGAATAGGCCTTTCATCTTGCTGAACAATCTTTTGTGATCAATGAAAAAGCAATTACTTCTCTTTTATTGCCGATATCTCTTTTTCAGCTTACATAGATTGATACAATAAGTATGGTAACTGAGAATACAAGTTCTTGATCTCAGCACTAGGGTTGTGTAACTACAGAGTTGCACTTTTGTTGAAAACATATCTGTACATTGTAGTAACTCCAATCCCGAAAAGAAAAAAAGAAGAAGAAGCAAAACAACTATATATCACTCTCATCTTATTCTATCCTAGTTTGCATTTGGACCCTCTTGTCTTCTGTTACACCCATATTGCTCCGGCTCTTCTTAGCAACGCAGCTAGTTGGTTCTTGACTTGAAGAGTCATTACCTGGTTAGCACCACCAATTAACTGTTGCCCTATGAACACAGCTGGTACACTGGGCTTACACCCCATCTGTACCAATGCCTTCTCGATTTCCTGCCCGTTTGATAATTGGTCTAGCTCGTAGACTGTCATCTTCGCCCCAAACCCGGAGATCAGTGTTTGAATTGAGTGGCTCATGCAGCAAGAGCTTTTGCTGAAAACCACCACTGGTTTGTCTGCGACTAAACTTCTAATGCTTTCCATTTTGATGTATATAAATGTTATACAAATGTAGGGCGTAGTGTGTGTGAGAGAGAACTAAAGGATCTTTATGTTTGTTTTTGCTTTCAAGTTATCACTTAGTAAGCCTATTTATAGAGGTTGATATGTGGAGGATGGTAAGATTGCATAAATCAGATCTTTGTCACTACTTTACTTCCCTCCTAGTGATGTGTCCTTTGGCGTTCTCAAAAAACTGCATGAACTTAGATTCGTTAGATTTTGGTATCATCAGAACCAAGTTGCATATACAGTTCATGTAAACTTTTTTTGTTTTCTAATTACGGAAATATCCTTGCCATATGATTTGTAAATGATCCATGGATCCAGGGAGGTAATGCAACAGTGTGATCATGTACAATCTATAGTGCTTTTTTTTTTGCAATATCTTTTTGCTTTTGATGCATCCACTGAGGTGGAGATTGGATTATGGTTTATCCAGTTAGATGCCTATCTTTTCAAGCAACAATAGATTCCCCACAAGTTTCAGGCTCTAAAGAAACGGAAAGCAAGAAAAACAAAATAAAAGGATCGTCTTTGAGCTACTTTTCTGCTAGTATGACCTGGAGTCTAGAGTGCAAGTAAGTGATATCAAACACAGTTCTTGCTTTTAGCTTTACTCTATCGTGATAACCATTTCCCAAGTTTGAATCACACAACTCATCTAAAATGTGAGAGTTGGTTAACTCTTAAGAGCCTTTGTTGTTCGTTGCGTTTTGAACTTTCCGAAAATGCTAAAATTTAGTAGAATTTTAGAAGGAAAGCATGATTCCGACACCAGATTTGGAAATCTACAGAAACGAAGAATCTTTGGCAGATTCGTGATAAGGCCATGTGTCTATGATTGAATTAGCAAATCTATGGGTGATAATAAGCATAGATTCTTCTATCATTTTATCTTTTCGGATCTCTAGAACTCTCTCTGTCTGCCAAAATTGGCTCGCAAAATTGTTCAAAGGTCATATGTTTCGTTCTTCAATGTCATTTTCTCCGCACTAATGCTACGTAACTGTATAGAAGAAATAGATTATGCTTGGCCTTGTACCAAAGGAAAAATTGAAGTTACAGAGATTGGTTCCAACAAACATTAAGGAAGAAAGAATTTCAGTAAACTTTTGATACAAAAGTACTTTTCTTAAAGCTTGAGATAAAGTCCATCATCCATCATCCGGTGATGTTTTGGATCAGGACGACAGAGTTATAATGCTCCCCAAGCCCAAAAGCATGCCGGTGATACGATAACATGAGACTCGAGCCATCACCGGATTTATACTCTTTGCCCATTTCAACATCCGGAAACGATCCGGAAAACACCATTATGTGTTTCCTCAAGCAATGTGTTAACGCACCAAGCTCCAATTGACCACCCCAAGCCGCGGTTGACTCGACTTCTCTACAGTATTTCTCAAACCGCTCTTCCGCAGATCTCTCGGACTGTGACTCAGTTTCTGACAAGAAAAACGGGAGAAAATCGGTTTTGTGCTCTCTCATGTACGAAGCAGCCATTTCTCTTAGCTTCTGGTATGAGTAGGGAGATGCACCGCCTGAGCGATTGGCAAGCTGATTCTCAACAGCCCGGTAAAGGCAATGCCCGTCAGGTTTAATCTCACTGATTGTCAATCCCAATGGTTTAAGCTTCTTCTCGAGCTTTTGGTTCTCAACCATACGATCACTTGTGACTTGGCTTTGCTCCTCTTTGATTCTCTGCTCTCTCTCTGCTTCTTCCTTAGCCCGTTTCTCGCGCCTCTTGACGCCCTTGCTGGGCTTTGAGTGCTCTTGCTGAGCGGTGACTGAGACTCCAGCAATAGCTCTCACTAGAGTGTCCATGTCTCCTTTTTTCTCATTAGCTTCGTCCTTGGCAATGCTGCTGCTGCTAAAACCTTGTGAGCCGAGCTCTTTCAACTGTTTCTCCTTGAGCTTTGTGGAGAGTTTGGAGATGTCTTCTTCGACTTGCTTCTTCTTGGCTTTTTGTTCAGCTTTGCTTCCTTTAGCAGCTGCCTTTTTCATCTCAGTCTCCTTGTTCTGTAGTTGTTTTATCTCCTGCCTACAATAGACAACGTCAACAACTTAAGCACCACTCATGTAAATAAATATAAACTTGAAAGCAATCAGTGATCGAAACAAGGCTGCTACCTGTGCCGAGCAAGCATCTCATCAACTGTTTCATGTTTCTCCTGAGAAGCATCCACGGGGGCTTCTTCGGATACATGATCTCCAGAAGTTTTACTGTCAGCCATTTGAGAATCCCCTCTATATATATATTGAAATGTCAGGACAAGGAATACCAAGAACACTCTGCAGAGAACAGCAAGTGAACAAGTGACAGACAACCACAAACCCAATTATCTAACATTCAATCCAAAGGACACAGTAACTCTAGAAACAAGACCAACCCCCCCCCCCCCTATTCCACCAAATTCACTGAGGCCTAACACTAAAAGATATCCAGAACCAAGATGAATGATAATATTTTTCAATGAAATTAACCAAAATTTATGTTATTCCTATCTATTCGAGAAATCTAGAGCGCGCGTTGGATCAAAGGGTTCGACTAGCAAATACTGAAAACGCGAGAGAAAGGTTCCGGAGTTCATACCTTTTGATCGTAGGAGAAGAATCGAATATTAAGTTTGATTTAGGGTTTACGGCTCTCAGGCGACAAAATCATAAAACTAAAAGAAGAGTTAAAAAAAAAAAGGAATGGACCTAAATTATACTTATTGGGTCAAAAGGCCTTATCCAAAGCGACCTTCTTGGGCTTTCTTAATCCAAGAACCCTCTTTGTCGGGGAGAAGGTTTACAGATGTTTCGAAAGAAAATGAATAAGATATATCATAACCGTGTTATAGGCTTATCGAATCAGTGAGGAACCTAAATGGTTGGCAAGTAGAGACGACGATATATTATTCTGTCAACGCTTTTGGTTTATTAAAAAAAGAATCAATCGATAAAAATGAATCCAATCCCATGGACGGTCGAGATGTGAGTGAGTGAGTGTGACCTAAAATAACAAATATCATCAAAACCTTGCATGAGGGGCCACGTGGTTTTTATTTTCCGACAATTGAGAAATATTTTATTTAACCTATATTCATAGGTGAGGATATTTATAAGAAGAATATATAATATAAAACAAAAATCGAGTAAAATAAGATAAAATAAAACATATAAAAATTGTTCATATGTTTTGAGTGAAGATCGATTCTCGTATATATATATATATGTGGATTATGGCCTAGTGGAGAGTGTCTTAAACTGTAGTTTTTAGTTGCCTAAGCATATTGGCCATAAAATACTTGGAAAGGGCAACAAAATGTTTGCACAAACAATGAAGAATTCTCTTCTAAAGACTAAAGGTTCTTTTCATAAATGTCAACCCAATTATAAAAAACCATAGGCATGGGATTCTTGATCGGTTTCGATATTGAAGAATGAGAAAGAAGGAATATATAATATCTAAATGGGTTACAGTGAAACAAAACAACTAGGCGACACATGGAGAGAGTACGTATCTTCATTTACACACACACACATTACATAATACATACATATCATTATGTGGAATATATATATAACTTTTTGTACATTGCCATATTATTTATTCCTTTTACTCAACGCACAGATGTAATATCATCATACATATGTATGATTTGTGGAGTGGGGTCTTATTTGGATAAACTTCTCTTATCTCAGATTTTTGTTTTCCATGTCAAAGATGACGCAACACTCACCACGGATCCATCACCACTAAATCTATGCTCTTTTTCTTCTATCTTGCATACACTTCGAAACTGTTTTGTTTTAATGTAATGTTTAGACATTTTAAAGTCATTACTAATCATAATCGCATATACATTTAATCTCATTACGAAATGCATGCATCTATATACTGTATCTCCCAATTATTATCGTATATAGATTTAGTGCCAAGTGCCAACATATACGAGATGATTTTAATTTGTCCACAAATGGCTTTATCCATTTTCAGGTTATTAGACTTTATAATATAATACAACTATTAAATGTTCATTATATTTTATTAATTAACAGCAAAACGAATCACCCATCTCGCTCCTTTTCGTTCATGCCACATTACAGCAAATTATTATCCTTCCACGTTTCCACTATAAAGAAAGGAATACATATACATATATATATATATATATAATATATGATGTTAGTTTTTGGTATAATTTATATTGTATTAGACTGTCCATTTTAAGAATAATTTAGTTATAAAACTAACAAAAATAATTAAATAGGAACAAGTGTCTCCATCACCTAAATCATAAGGGTAAGCATTTTTTTTCCTTATCCAAAATTATATCACAAAGAACTTAGCCTCTTTCTAGGAAATTTTTGTTTTGTGGGGTACTTTCAATTACTAACATATAATTTAGTGTGGGGTATATTTATTTTTTTATTCATAATATATCTTTATCAGAAAAACAAAATAAAAATAAAATAATCCAAAATCTTCAACAATAACCATTATAAATAACGGCTGATCCAAGCATATGTTCAACACAACCAAAACCTTTCTCACTACAGAAAACAACACACTTGATCACTAAGTTGTCTTGATCATCGCAAATGGAGAGAATAAGCGATTTGTCGTCGAAGAAAGCTGCAGTGATATTCACAAAGAGCTCATGTTGTATGTGCCATAGCATTAAGACGCTATTCTACGAACTAGGCGCCAGTCCGGCGATCCACGAGCTCGACAAAGACCCTCAAGGCCGTGAAATGGAGAGGGCCCTACGTGCCATCGGCTCATCGAACCCGGCCGTTCCAGCTGTTTTCGTTGGAGGAAGGTACATCGGATCAGCCAAAGACATCATCTCCTCCCACGTCGACGGGTCGCTCAAGCAGATGCTTAAAGACGCTAAGGCCATATGGTTATAGCTTCCGATCATCGTGCATGTATGTATATATCTATCTATATATGTATACGTATGCACATGTATGTATTGTGTCAATAATCAATGTGCTAAAAGCGCATTTACAATATACCTAATCGGGAAGGAGCAAAGATGTATTAAAATGCTTTGCTTCCTTCGCGTGGATGCTATCTTATAATAAGTTATATATACATGTATATATGTGTATATGTATGTTGACTCACATTGTACGGAATTGGAAAGACGAGTGTACCTTTAAGCATTGTATCCACGTAGAGAGTAAACTCAAATCTTAAGATCGTCCGTCATTTGTTATAAAAAAAAATACTACTGATAAATGGAGATTAGTATTTTATGGTACAAACAAATGAATATAGAGTTAATAGCAAAGTATCGGGATGATGATGAGTTGATAGATCGACGACGTGACAAGACAAATGATGATTATCAAGAACGAATCATACACGTAGGTGAGTACTATAGGATCCCTTATCTTTGGTGAATCGGAAAAAGGTGAGAATCTCATACACTTGAAAAGCTTCACCCACAAGTCATCGGAACATATATAGAACAACGCTAACTAAAACATGTGGTCAGCGCTATATAAGATACAACAAAACTATTTCATTAAACTATCAATTGTTGTTGCAAGATATATAAATAAAAGTCTCCCCTAAATTTTGTTTCTACCACTTAAATGATCGTCTTAAAAAAATTGATGGGTGAATACATAAATACATAAACCATACAAACCAAACTTTTGCAGTTTGTTGATTAGTTTCGTTCTACATGCAAAATATCGTCGAGCAAAAATACACTTTGCAAAAGTGATCCCTTATATTATGAAAACGATATACATACGAGCGATCGGCCGACCGCTATACACGTATGTAGATACGTCCCTGTAGAGAGACGGCAAGAGCAGAATCAAACATGAGTGTAAGTGTGAGCTAGCTATAGAATGAACAACGAATATTAGTCTTTAAGCAAGTTGGTGGTAGGGGCGCACAATAATAAGGGAATACTCAACTAAGTATTACATATATAGTTGATAGATATATGATCGATCACCAAAAGCTGGAATCGTGTTTTGCTTATTCATTCTTCCTTTTTCGCCTAAGGATTCAACCACTGAGCCATGCATGATGAGGTCTCGGAGGAATATAGCGTTGATAAATTGACAACCGCACATTGCTTCCCAGTAATTTGGCTATAAAATCATTAATCATGTCTATCATTTGTCGGTATCTAATCAGATCATTCTTAAAAAGACTCTGAACGATATAATATAATTAGAGAGACATAATATAAAGGTTAAAAGGTAGTTTAAATTTTAAACAAAGAAGAAAAAATACGATAATCAACACCAACATTGTTTAAAAACGATATAGAAAATACAATTTTGGAATTTTTACCTGATGTTTGCTAGTTTAAAGTTCGATCACAAAGTCTTTTTTTTTTTTTTTTTGGAAACTAGTTGGATCACAAAGTCTAAACATTGTTTTGTAGTGAAGAAATATATATACACACATATATATATACACATATATCTAGAGAATAAAATAAAAATCGCTCCTAATGATCGTGTCTGCTGTATGACGTTCATGTCGACGAAAGCTATAAATTAAGGGACATGAAAGACATGCCTTTGCTACAAGCTTTTCGTCGTCGGTCTCTTCAAAATTCCATAGTCGACAAGAGCAAAACAAACTTACCTAATTTCATTGCTGCGTGATTAACTGATCTGATCTTAATTAATATTCCTTTTTATTCTTCACTAATAAAAGTGTAGGACGACACATACGATATATACAGCCCATGTGCAAAGCATTCAAGAAGCACACACGCGTAGAGTTCACTTGCTTGCCATGAGATTCAGTAATGCGATACTGTTCATGATCTATCTGACACAAAGATTCGAAGTGGTTATTACAATGTATTTTTTTTGAACAAGATTCGAAGTGGTTACAATGTATAACCTCCCGAATCGTATGCTTAAGTTACTGTTATCGTACCAATTCTTCAGTATTATTAGCTGCAAAATAAAAATAAATGAAATCAATTATTACAACTTGTTCAGCCAAAATAGAACATTAACAAATGGTCTTTTTCTCGCAAAGCCGCTTTAATTCTTCGGAATCTAATTTTTTTTATTAAAATTCAAGTATTATTTTCCCATTTAAGAAAAAAAGACCAGTCCAAGGCAAAGACTTGCACTACTTGCCTTCCTATAAATAGCCCAAGCAGATCATCGAGTTTCTAACGAACAAAGAAACATACATCAAAGCTATATATACCTAAAGAAAGATATTTTTTTCGATCGATCATCCTTAGCCCGCAGGTAAGAATCTGATCATGGACAAGGTGATGAGAATGTCGTCGGAGAAAGGAGTTGTGATCTTCACCAAAAGCTCATGCTGTCTCTGCTACGCCGTGCAAATCCTTTTCCGTGACCTTAGGGTTCAACCAACCATCCACGAGATCGACAACGATCCTGACTGCCGCGAGATCGAAAAGGCCTTAGTCCGTCTTGGCTGCGCCAACGCCGTTCCTGCCGTCTTTGTAAGTGGAAAGCTAGTGGGTTCGACCAACGATGTCATGTCGCTTCACCTAAGTGGCTCTCTCGTTCCTTTGATCAAGCCGTATCAGTCATTTCACAACTAGACAAACAATGGATGCTTAAACAATATATAATTAGTATATGTTAACTTGATAGTGAGAATAATGATGGAAAGATCACACGTAAATGTGTATCAGGTTCTTCTTTATATTTATATATATATATATATATATATAGATAATTTCATATATTGTTTAGCTTAATTATGCCTAAGAAATCAATTAGCTAGCTTTGTATTTCCAGCTCAACTAATCAGTGGATGTACTGATGTGTTTATCTATTTTATTGGAAAAATTATTTATCCTATAATTGTATTAATTGTCTTTCTTTCTAATTTCTGCAATTCAAATACGTAATATATAGTCACATTCTCTGAATGATTTTAAATAACACTAATTTGGAGGACGTTCAACATGATATCAGAATTTATCACATGAAAAGAAATAAGATATTTTAATTAAAATTACTTACAGGAAATTATTATTGGTTCGAAGATATTTGTTTTAAAAGCTAGTGAACAAAATGAAAATATCCAAATAGGAGAAAATAACGTCTAAAAGTAAAGACTGCAATTCTTTTGGCTTGTGTTAGTAAATTAGACGAAATGTACAGTCTATTGAATATTGTGATAATAATATAAGTATGATAGTAAACCACAGAGGTCAGAGACCATAAGGTTTTTTACATTTCTAGCTCTCAACGACTCGATAGAATAAGAAATTGAGCGGTCCATCCAAGCTATATCAAAATCTGAACAGAATCTGAAATGTTTATCTTATTCATCTCTCTCTCATTCTCATACTACAAAACCCGTCAGAAAATGTATGACTGAATCTAATTGTTATTTTTATTTTGGAACGATTATTCATATATTCTCCATGCTCACTTTATATCACGATAACGAAGCACAAAATTCCCTTTTCACCTTTTTTCTGTTTTATCTCGTCAATTTTAATCACAAACTACCAAAATTAAGAAGCAGGATTTGCAAAATTGAAGAGCTCGCTCTTAAACAACAAACATCAAATATATAAATATTTAATATCAGAATTCGACATGAGTCGTATGTGTGTGAATAATTAAGCCCTAAAAAAAAAAGGAAAGGGAAAAAGAGTAGGGGGGATTTGCAAGATGTGTGGAATAGCTTTACTTAAACTTCCGAGTTCTTTGGGATCTCTCTTTTTTGGGACGTGTAACAACTACCTTCACTTCTGTCTTTGTCGGATCCAAATATTCTCGTGACGGGCGCGTGGGAAAAGCATACCCTTCCCTTCTCTCTTCATCATATCTCTCAACATCACAAAAACATTCACTTGCTAACATGCACATCCACCGATCCTTCCTAGCTAGCTATTCACTTACCTATCTTCTTTATCTTCAACGTCCTATGCATGGACGGTGTCTACTTAACCTTTCGATAATTCAGTGATTCCAACTTCATGCCAACGTTAATCACAAAACACTCAAAAGTGAATCTTTTTTATTAAGCTATCCATTACTACTTAATTTTGTTTTAAGAGTATTATAGAAAACCAGCCGGGATATAATAAATAATTAAACCAGCCGGTTAAGAAAGGTATGGGAAGAAAGAGGGAACGTCCCATAAAGATGACTACACACGTGTTTCCAAAGTCAAAAAAACTTTAGCCCGATTCTGATTTTTTTAATGTAGTAAATGAGGTTCGGTGGTTAATGGTGAGAGAGCATCCCTAAATAATGCTGTGATGGGTGCTGGTGCTAGTGCTAGTCTCCGCCCAGACTCGATCGAAACTTGTGATTCTTCTACCTTTCCCAAAGACAAAGACTTTGGCAAATTCCAATTCGGGTTTGTTCTTGATATTACATGTGTTTTCATTTTCTCGGATTCTTCTCTTATTCCTGTTTTTTTTTTATTTTTTTTTATTAAAAAACTATCTGTTTCTATCAGATGCGAACATTACAGGAGACGATGTACAATCCGAGCTCCTTGCTGCAATCTCATCTTCCCATGCCGCCATTGCCATAACGAAACAGCGGTTTTGTTCTCTAACTTGTCTTTTCCTTGGGCTTTTCTTTTTTGCGGTGGTGTTTCTCAACGAACATGGTTTCTTGTTGTTTTCAGAACTCTTTACCTGATCCTAAAGAACGACATGATTTGGTCCGCAAAAACGTCAAACAGGTTTTGATTGACTTTGAATCCTCATTCTTTGTGTTTCAAAAGATAGATAACTCAATTGGATTCTCTTTATTCTAAAAACAAGAACGGTGTTTATGTTTCTCTCAGGTTGTGTGTTCAATATGTCAAACTGAGCAAGAGGTATTGGTTTGATCTTATTTCGTATTATTCGTTATCTACTGGTCAATATTATCATCCTAAAATACAAATCTTCAGGTTGCTCAATTCTGCTCGAATTGCGGCGTCTGTATGGGGGACTACTTTTGTGATCTCTGCAAATTCTTTGACGACGATGTGAGGAGCTAAGCTTTGTTTCCTTTCTTTCAACTGTTATTGACTCACTTTCAAACTAGTAATCTGGCCCTTGTTATGTTTGCAGACCTCAAAAAAACAATTTCATTGTGATGACTGTGGTATTTGTAGGTGAGGTGTTTGGTGATATTGAGAACTTGTGCCACATTACATTCTTCTTGTTAAACTCCTTACTTAATCTTGTGGTGTTATTAATTTTCAGAGTTGGTGGCCGTGACAAATTCTTTCATTGCCAGAACTGTGGTATGTAGTTGTATACCTTTATCAACTTGCATTTGTTGGATTCTGTTTTTCCTCTTTAAAGCAAGTTCCAGTTACGTTGGTGGTGTGTGAGATTGCGAATTGTCTCCATCAACTGTGCTCTAGGAACATAAGTATCTATTCCACTACTGACTTTTCTAGTGTAGTAGGGTTACGTCTTGGTAAAGTAGGATCTTTTAATTTGTTGCACATACAGGTTTTATCCTGTCTTGTAGCTCAGTATCAGATGTATAGCCTATAAGTCTACACCTTGTTTAATGGTTACAAAATGTTCTTTTCTGTAAATATACAATCTTGTGTCCATATTTGTGTTTTACTCCTGTTTTAGTTATCTTGTATGCTGTTATGAAATTCCCCTTTAAATATTGCAGGAGCTTGTTACTCAACAGACTTGCGCGATAAACACTCGTGCATTGAGAACTCCACAAAGAACTCGTGTCCTGTCTGTTACGAGGTTTGTCCGAATGGAATTAGTTTTAGTCTTTTAGATGGTTGGTTGTGCTGCATATCGTTAACTACTAATTAGATTAAAAACATGAGATTGTATTTAACTTTTATGATTGATTTGCTCAACCTGGCAGTATTTATTTGATTCGGTAAAAGTTGCTCATGTGTTGAGTTGTGGGCATACTATGCATATGGATTGCTTCAACCCAATGATCAATAATAACCAGTAATAATCTCAGTGAAACTTCTCCTTAGATCCAATTTGTTCCTCACAGTATCAATATAGAATTTTCTTTTTTAAATATATACTCTCTCTCTCTCTCTCACTCTCAGGTACCGATGCCCCATTTGTTCCAAGTCAATGGTGGATATGTCTTCTTCGTGGCAATTATTAGATCTCGAGGTAACAATCAAATTTTGGATTTGATGTATTCAGTGAGGTAAATACCAACCAACATTCTCTTTACAGATAAGCTTAACAAAGATGCCCGTTGAGTATAACTTTGAGGTAATGTCTATACATGCAACGTTTTTGCCACCTCATGGTTTGATTTAATTTTGTTCATGATAAATTGTGTACAGGTTGCAATTCTTTGCAATGACTGCAACAAGGGGAGCAAAGTAATGTTCCACATTTTGGGACACAAGTGCGAGCATTGTGGTTCATACAACACTCGTCAAATCTCAACTCCACAAGATCCAGTGTGTGAAACAGAGTGATCACTTCTGAATCCGCATAACATACTCTTCTTGGTTGGACTTTTCCCGTCATTCGTCCAACCATAAAGATATGTGTTTTGCAGCTGTCCAAAAAAAACAAAACAATGTGTTTTGCTTGATCTTTTTTTTTTTTTTTTTTAAACCAGTGGGTTTTAGTTTGCCGGTCTGGTTACATTAGATTGTGAGCAAGTTAATATTTCGACTCTTAACGAAAGACCAAATTGATCCAATGAGTCATGTAAATCACAGTCAAAACATAATAACTTGCGGGGAATAATTTTCAGGAAAAAGGTCTTCTATGAATGCTTGCATTCAATTCGATATATTTTCTTTTTTTGATGAATGTAGTTTTCTAAATTTCCAATATACTATTTGAGCGAACATGTCGAACATAAGAGGTGCGTCACTGAGGTTTGTTTCTTTGTAATGGGTTGTTAATCTGAACATCTTTCAACTCAAAATTTCCCAAATGTTCGAACTGTCCTGAAACTTACTGTTAAGAAAAAGGGAAAACTAAACCCGAAGAAAGTGTAAATCTATGAAAGCCCTACGAGTGAATAAGAAGTGTAAGAAGTGATGCTGCTCCAAAACCGAACAGGCTGCACACAGTTCTCTTTCTCTAAGCGGACAAAGAGCAAAGACAAGAGGGATATAAAACATTTAAAAGGATAAAAGAGTCCAAACAAGTAGAACAGTTACATTTTTGACATTGTCTTATAAAAAATCTCTTATCCTCTTAAGAAAAATACCCGACCAGGATCTCTCTCACCCTCGGTAAGTAGCCAAACAAACATACAACAATAGAAAATTCTTACATAAATAAAACAAGGATCTCTTTCTCTCTCTCTCCACTTATTCGTTGCTCATGGGCTTTGATGGTTAATATGAAGCAGCCGAGAATTAATTATTGGCAACCGAGCTCTCTCATGTTCCTAAACCGGAACGATTATAAGGGATTGATGAACAAGGATTAATGAAAAATGTACCTCGTTTATTTGTCTTATAATCCGTTAGTTGTGATGATTTCCCTGGAAAACCTCATTGTTGAGTCTTGGTCCATGTTCCAGACGAAGCCAGGCATGTCAAACCGAGGACCAGCCACTGTTCGGTATATAAACACTCTCTCAACAGGGCAGCTCTCGGGTCTTGAGTCTGGTGAACCCCGTTCATCGATGACTTCCACATTGAGCTTTGGCATCTTCTGTCCTAGTAACTTGCAGGCTCCAAAACTCACGGAACAAGAAGACATCCAAAGGGATCGCATTGTCTCCAGCTTTGAAGCATTGGCCAAAAGCGCCTTGTCTCCAAACGGGCAGTCCCTTATCTCTAGTTTCCTCAAGCTATCACACCCTGACAAAACATGATGCATGCCCAAATCACTGTCTCCTGCAAAAGCCACCGAGAGCATTTCCATCTTCTTGGCATATGTCCCAATGTATTCAAAAACCTTGTCTGTTAAGAGACCTGATAGAGAGAGGCGGCGGAGATCTTTGCAGTGCTCTACTATGGCTCCAAATCCAACATCCAGTGGCTCTAAAGTCAGATAGTCGGGGGCTTTTGGCTCAATGATGCACAAACGGAAGCGAGTCATGTTGGGACGGTTCCTAGCAATGGTTACCAATGCAGCATTGGTCATTTGACGGCAAAAGTAGAGAACTGACTCGAGTTTTGGACAGCCCATGGAGACGTAGACGAGCCCCTGTTCCGTTAATGCCACGTTTGGTTCCATGACAAAAGGCTCGGATGGAAACACTCTCAACTCGCGTAGGTCCTTGCAGGTTGAAGCAAGCACCTCCAGACCAACATCCTCGATGTAGTCAAGCACCTGTTGTCAATTAGTCATACCAGGGTTACAAAAAAAGAGGCTTTGATGCATATTTTTCAATTCCATTACAACCTAAATCACTGATAGTATTTAAGAAAACTATGAGCTTAAGCTAACGTTGACCCAAATTTCCAAACTCAAGTGTTAATGTACGTTAAAATGGACTCACCCAGAGGCGCTGCAGTTTTGGACATTGGCTAAGAAGCTTGACAAGATCATAGCTCTGGACTGTTGCATAACTGAGATTCAAAGTTGTGAGCCGACTGCAAACAGAATAAACAGCTGGGAGATAGGCAGGAACAGCATCCCAAAAACCAGATAAGCACTTCAAGTTCTTGCAGCCAGAGAGCGCTACAGATAAACCAGAGTAAACATCTGGTCGCACTTCTGCAGTGTAGCCACCGGTCCCCAATTCCTCTAATTGAGGTGCTCTATGTAGTAGAGTAGCCAATTTTTCAAGAGGAACAGCTCGGTTAAGCTTGAGGGACTTGAGATTGGGACACCTAGTGACCAGCCTTTCCAGAGCAGAGAAACTGACCTCAGATGCTAAGCAGGAGATATTGAGCGATACTAAAGATGTATATGTATCAGGGAAATGGCTAAGCCAGTGGCCACTAACATCATCGACATCACTCTCGCGTAAATCAAGCTCTTTAAGATTCCTGCATAAGAATCATATAAGTAATTGAAATTGGCCACATGATAGAACTTGAAGACCATGTACATTGCTAGTTTGCTACAACAGGTAACCTAGAAAATAAATAATATCATGTACAATAATAGTAGATAATAGTTCACAGCTGTATATGATGCAATGTAGTTCACTTGGGGGAACAATCTAAGCACAGAAGAGAGCTAAAAAAATTTAACATGAAAGCGTTGTCAGAGATGCTAAAACAGAGCTAAAGGGAGGGAAAGCAGTGGAATCCGAAAACAGATCTAAGTTTCCCAACAAGGTAAAAACAAACTGAAAGGTTGCCCAGAAAAGGAAAAGACACACACATATCAAAAATTCGCACCTCAGGAGATTCATCGAGCGAATAATCCAGGAATATAGAGAAATACCACCGTCATAAAAAGAAAAAGAAAAACAAAAGAGAGAGGGAGAGAGAGAGAGAGAGAGGCTCTTTAAAAGCATCTTCAGAAACGTGATTAAAACATGTTTCTTTAGATACGCAAAATCTTGACCCAAACAAAACAAAGACGGGAGTAACATGAGCAGGAGTAAAACAGCAAAATCAAAAGCCCATATCGAATTTGCTATATAATCCAGACTTACATGTTTTGATGAATGAATTGACAAATCACATGGAACAGTTTCTTTAAATGGCAAGGGTAAAATGAAATCTTGATAGTAAGACTATGTACCTGCAAGTGGCAGCGATAGCAGCGAGACCATCGGTGGAGAAGCCTTCACAGGAAGAAAGAACAAGAACCTTAAAATTCTTAAAGGACTTGGCTATGAGCTCCAAGCAGTCGTCGCTGACCACCATCCTCTTCAGCCTTATCTCCTCAAGCCACGTGTACGACGAAGACATGGCCTCAATCCATGGATACACGTAAGCTCCCCATCCCTCAGGCACCAAATTAAAGTCAGCGAAGTGAGGTTTCCCCTTGAGCTCAACGGATCTCACTTTCGGGAACCTCCGAATCACCGTCGCTGGACTGACGGCGTAGCAGTTCCCGATGAAGACTTTCCTCCGGCACCACCGCTCGATCTCGTACCATGACTTGCAAACGAGAGACACCGAGTTCCTATCCTTATCCAGGTGTATAAACGAAAACACATGCTCGAGCACCTCCTCCGGGAACGACAGGGCTAATCGCTTCTGCATTGCGCCCAAGAATAACTTCGAGATCTCGATGAACCAGAGTTGGGGAAAGAAGTCCGAAAGCTTTCGAACAAGAGTTGAACAAAGTGTATATATATATTTATATCCGAGGATTAGATCTGAGGCGCCATTAACGGAGATAATCTAGTTTCAAAGAAGCAAAGATGAAGAAGAGAGATAGAGAGAGAGAGGATGGATAGGAGGGGGGGGGGAGGGGGAGTTAAAAAGCAAACCATGGTTGGGTTAGATGGGTTAACCATGGTCAAACATATCCATGTGAGCCTTTTCGGTGATTGTGATTGTCGATTCTGATGACGCCACGTGTATAATAAGCTTCAAATACCAGCCGTCGGATAGAATGATCTCATCGACCGCAGAAAACGGGACGAGAGAGATTGGGAGGGAAGGATCGATTATATCGCGCGAGAAGAGAAATGAAATTAAAAAAACAAACAAAAAAGATAGGGTGCGGTAAGGTGTATGGGAAGAAGGAATCTAATGATAGGGTAAGATACGCGATGCACGGCTGGATATGAGGGAGCCCCGTAAATTGCGGGGACCACAACAGAATGTTAAATATATGAATACATTTTATTTTTTTAATACTAATTATTTTAATAAAGATTGATCTGACGGTAATTCACTAACGAAAACTTAAAGGAAAGTGTTGTCTATGATGACATCACAACCGTCCAATCATGCTTTGATGTGAGCATCTACTGTTTTCCTATTATTATTATTATGTAATTCCATATAATAATAATAATATTTCATGTTTTTGTATTTACCCACCATTTCGATTACTACATTATTATTCACCTTTTTCATTTTAGATTCTAACAAATATATATATATGATCATTTATTGCATAAAAAGAAAGAAAGAAAGAAAGAAAGAAAGAAAGAGAAAAAAAAGAAATATGTTGATTTTATGAAGTTGAATTGAAAATGAGTGTAGTAGTAGTAGTATGTGAGGGAAGTATCCAATAATTGAAAGTGTGCAACTTTTTATATACCAAGTAAGAAAGCAAGAAGAAAGCAAAAAAGAAAGAGAGAAGAATGGATGATACTCAAAATTCTGAATAATAATTTATTTATTTTTGTTTAAAATAAAAAGGAATACAACAACAACGGAAGAAAAGAAAGATGCAGCTTCGCATTTTAATCACGACCGTCAGATCTGGGACCCCTTTTTATTTATTTAATTTATATAAAAGCTGTGTACAGCGTACGGACACACAATCGTTACTTGTTCTTTTAAAAAAAGTTACTACTGAATACAAAATTACACAATCTGAAATTTTTATTACCTCGTCTGTCTGGTCTGAGCGTAATGCATAATTGGACAAAGAAAAAGAAAAACGGAATATTAAGAATATGGCGGACCTAGATCGGCTTCTCTCTCACTAAACCGTATGTACTTATTACTGTATAGTATTTTAGGGTTTGTATTACAGACAGTATGTATTTTGGAGGAATTGTATTTTTAAAACTTTCTCATATTTAATTTAAATAAGATAAAAAAAATAAAAGAGAGGGGAGGGGAGAGAGAGAGAGAGAGAAGAAGAGAAACAGTGTAGGATGGGGGTGGACTGTGGAGGGGATTTGGCAGTGTCGCAGCATGGACTTGATAGGTCTGTCCTCTCT